TTTGGTGAAAAATTTGCCAGTGAAGATTTTAATGTATAGTTTTCACATTTTAACAAAGAACTCTGTATCCCGGGTTTAAAAATAGATTGATCACCTCCAGTTGACTATTCGTTTACAACAATATGATGGATTTATTCAACTGGAAGTACACAGCTATCCATGGCCTAACCAACGCAGAATTTGTGTTGCATTGGATCAGCAACAGTCTAAATTTGTATGAAGACAATCCAGACGAAACTAATTAACAAGACACTTTCATATGGTCACTAAAATGTCACCGGATCTGCGTGATGAAAAGCCGGCTGGAGCATTTCTATTGTTCCTTTATCCGCACTCACTTCGAAAATTATCCTAGATGATAACATTTCGTCAATTAGCCAGATGGTAACGAAGGAAGAGCAAAGTCAATTTACAAGGTTAGGGCCAAACAGGATGGGAAGGTAACAAGCAGTCCATGTAATATGACAAATTTTCTTTGCGCTTGTCTTCCAGATGTTACCTTTTACCAGATTCTTGAACCAGTTATGTGACTGTCTTATTTCATTATATTTACCAGTGACTAATTTTGGAGAGAATTCGCTAGTGTTTCAGGCAGCTACTATCTCGTAGCGACAAACACATCCTCAAAATAAATAGTTCTGTGTGTCTTCTACATTGATGCGAACTTCAGTAGTTTTGATGAATACACTCTAGCTGAAAGTGTTCGATCACGCATACACTCCAGATCACCGGTGAGTACGCAGTGATACATATCTCTTGCAACTGCTAGCCAAGCACGTATTGATAGCTTTCCCAATATATTTTCGGTACCCTTCATTTTTGACTTCTCATTTGATTGAGTTGGTGTGCACTGTCTGCAGAGGTGCTACGTATAAATCTGTCCTAACTTAAGGTACTTATGAAAATTTGAGCACTTTCGTCAGCGTGACCAGAGCCGTATCAGAAATGTTTTTTAAGAGAAAGCCTGAGTTTTGTATACATATATTGCGATATTCGTTCTATCATTGGTGCAACGGACCAGTTCATGCCAAATTTCTGCCCTCTAAGAGCGAAGTTGTATTTACTTGGAATTTCTCAACATCTTGCTTCATTTTGTTGCATAATATATTGGTCTAATACATCATATATTTTAATCTTTTTCTCAAAACCACGTAATAATAATAATAATTTATTCTCGAATAACAGTTTGTTACATGAGGCATGCCAGTTTACAGACAAGATCAAATTGATACAAATGATACAATATACACTGTATTAAATTACATAGCTGAGTTGATAATTTAAAAGACATGAATGTAAATGGTTTTAATCAGTACTACAGTTGGCGCGCTTCACGAGAGTTGCGTTGCGAATGTGCGACTGATGGTCAAGGATAGGTCCATTGAAGGTCTGAGCTTCTAAATGTCGCAACCTTATGTCCCTTTGGGATATCCAAGGCTTTAAAGATGGTGCAGGATGAAGTCACCCGTTCCATATGTCAAGGGGGCTGAAAGAGGGAGCAAGTAAAAGAAAACACGAGAGGCAGAGTAGTCAATATTCATGAAGGAATGTTTAAGGTATGATTACTCAGTCTAATTTTCTTTTATTAAGGTATTTGTTAAGAAAGAGCATTTTAATAGGTTAAAGAAAATAAGTGTTAGCAAGGTGTGAGTGGACATACAACTGACAAATGGAGGCGATTCGGAAAAGAGCTGAGAGTATAAGATTATGTGTGATTATAAAATAAAATATAGTGCTAGAAACAGTATTGTGATATACAACTGGCTATCTTCCTTTTATTATCGAAGCTATTAGAGCCCATTTCGTTTTTTTATTTGTTTTTTTCCAGGTATTTAAGGGTCTTGAGTAGGCTTCGTATATTAGCGAATTGTCTAGTTTGCTTGTAATAGGATTTCTGGGTATGAAGTGAAACCGATTCAACGTTCGTAACACGATTTAAAGAGGTATTTTGCGTTATAAATCAGCTTCAATACCATAAGTCCGTGACATCCCACTAAACCATAAGGAGCCGTAATTAAACAAAATGTTCTGCCCTACAGACATGGGTGGATTGAATTTATCTCCCCACCATCATGTTTGCTGGTCAGTCACGTGTCCCTGTTACTTATTTTCTTATGGCCCCCTTTATATGACTAATCAAAAGACTGTCTGCTAAACATTCTGTAACTTGTTCAAGAAACATCATCTACATGGTGGGTGCTGGCTGTTGGTTCCATAAACCCTAATGCCCTGAGACAAACTTACTTAGGTTACATGAAACGAAAATCCATAAATAACTATCAAACTGACTATTACTAGTGCAGTTTAATGGTTCAAGTGCCACACATATGACCTTATCAGAGACTTGGAACTTCACCGGAACGACAAGTAGCAACAGCGACGAAAGCAATCTGTTTATACTGGTCTTAGGAACAGTAGTTCACATTATTGCAAAACGTCATTTTTGATAATCAAGCAATACCACTAGGACTACTCCGACCTAGTGGTTAGACTAACTTCGCGAAATGCTGTCATTATTTTCTGTGCCGAGGGTGACCCTAGACAAGTGAGTTTGGATTCCTTCAGAATCGCATCGCACTCTTCGTTTGTTATGACGTAAAAGACACTACTGGATGAGATACAAACGAACTAGTAACAACAGTGCATTCGGGCAATTCAAAACAAGTAAGAAACATATGCACAGAAGCAATAAAAGAGGACAGGCTTCAGTATCAGCTAAGGCATATCAATAAATTTGTAAACAATCCGAAGAATTTAATCCATTATGCAGCCTCTCTTCTACAAGTCAAAACTGAAGTTTCCCAAATACAAGGTCCTAATGGTTCGACTAATAACGACGGTGACGCCTCTACTGGTTGAGCAGTACTCTCGAACATTTCGACCGACCCACACTAACTCTGTTGATGAAGGCTTCAACCGCCTCTCCACAGGACATTAAGAAGTGAACCAGAGCGCTGACTTGCTGTACCGGAAACTGCAATACCTAAACAAGGACACATCTCTTGGCCCGCACATGATTGATTCTGCTATACTCAGGGAAGTAGTTTCAATTTCGGCAACACTGCTTAGCGTTCTGTTCTCACATCCACTAACCTTGGACAAATTGTCGGAAATTCGGGAGCTGACTCACATCAGACCACTTTTCAAAAAAGGTCGACTTAGCGAACCTTCGGGCTACTAACCTGTGGATATTCTCTCTATACCTTCAAAAATTATGGGGTCCCTGATATTCAACGGTTTACGTGAATACTTACTATCCATAAATTTTTTTTCACCACAACAGCGCAGGTTTAGAAAATGTCACATGCTGACTGAGTAGACAGATGGACAACCATCCTTGATCGAAAAAGGAAGGTTGACGTCATGTACCTTGACTTCTCTCAGGTTATGGAATGTCCTAGTGGGGTCCCCAAGAGCTCAGTACTAGGGCCCCTTCATTGCTTGATCTGTATAAACGATCCTTCACAACAGGTGTCGTCTGACGTAATGCTTTTTGCCGATGATGTGAAACTCTGAAGAGAAATATGCAACCAAGAGCATATACTGGCACTTCAGGAGGATCTAACTCGATTTCAAAGTTGGGCAGATGACAACGAACTTACCTTTAATACTTCGAAGTGTAAAGTAGTCCATCTGCGTCATGTGGCAGATTACAGTTACAACTTAGACAACTCCTCTCTAGAAGTATCACAAGTTAAAAAAGATTTAGGAGTGCTCGTATCCTACGATTTGAAGTTACGCTAACTGTTACAAAAATGCCATTCGAGAAAATCTTGCACTGGTAACATTGAAACGCATTTTTGGCCAATTTGACGGAAACACTTTCCACATGATCTTCAAAAGTTTCGTTCGTTCCAATTTAGAGTACGGAAACACAGTATTTCCTCCCTCACTCTAAAAAGATAAGGACACCTCAGAGAGCATCCAACGGCGAGCCACGAAATCAGTTCGGAGACTCAAATTCAAGCTTTATGAAGAGCGCCTTCAATCAATAAACCTTCACTCGTTAGAGAATAGGCATCTTAGAGGTGATCTAATGGTTTACAGTATTCTTAACAATTCCTAAAATCCCGCCTAAACACCTTGTATTCGAGTTGGGATTACCAATTGTAGCGTGGCGTCGAGTTGAGGTTAACTATTTACACCACTACCAAGAAACACGTGCCAAATAAATCAGAAGGCGAGGGTTGAACGTAACCAAATAAATCCATAAAATCTCCGAGAAGCCAAATATCAGAAGGCATGTAATGGACCAAGTCGAGTTATATTTGCTGGCGATCTCGTGGCATCGAGAGGATGCCGAGATCGTGCCAGGATACAACCTTGGTTACAGAAGGTAACCGAATTCGCGCGAAGTTACAATCGAAGTGTAGGTATAAGTATGGAAGCACAAAATAGCTGTCATTAGCACAGTCAAACAAGAGCACGTTAAAACGAACACTGGTACAGTTGGTTATAATAATAATTGTTTTTATTAAACCAGTCGTGTTCTCGTGATAAATGTGAGTCACTACAACCTACTTAGGTTCGGCTCCAACTGAAAACTAAGAGGTAACACCCGGAGACTTATGATACAACACAGAAGAATGGACCTTAGACACAACCTCTTCTCCTTAAGAGTTGTCAAATGCTGGAATTTGCTGCCAGCCGAGCTAGTTCAAACGACTTCCCAGGAGAAAACGGCTTCTTCTTAAGGACTGAGGCCAGAACCTTAATGTGACTTACGGACATATTTTTCTTTTCCTTCCTTTATCGCTAATATACCTAGGTTCCTACCTGGAGGCATCGGCGATCCACTGCTACTAGACACGGAAGCCCGTTATGAGAAAGCTTCTTCTATTCCGTCCAGAACAATCTGAACTATTCAACTTAGTAGTTTTCCTGCGAAATTTTCACTTTATTTCCATGAAAAACTGTTAACGCAATTATCAGAAGAATTACACTTGAGAAATACAAGCATATGAAAATCGTAGTAGTTACATCGGGTGTTGAATTGATTATTGAAATGCGATACTTTGAGCGTTGCGTTTCTCAGTTGCAGGAAGTTTAGCAGGTTGTTTGACCATGTCGCATTTGCATAATTATTTGTGTGGTATCGTCAGCTTCTTAACTCGTAGGAATCCGTGTGTACTAGTGTTAGTGGCGATAAAAAATTGAACACCAACGAATTTCTAAAGGGACAGAAAAGTTATTACTTTTATAGGAGAATATAGGAGTATGTTCAAATCGAAGATTTACAGTATACGTGGTATTGTGACCTCCTCTCGCACTACTTCCAGGTTCCGCTCATGGTTTTAGTTACTTCGGAAGCATCAATCACGATTTCCATTTCTAATGAGTTATTCGACAATGTCTTCATTAAGCTATTGTCAGTTTGTTAAACAAATTATTATTCCTTATACCCTGCTCCCATTCTACTCGAACTAAAATGAGGGCAAGCAGCAGGTGTAATTAAGTAAGCATCTTCGTCATTTTATTGTACTATCCTGGAAATAAAGTCAATAGACAGTACAATTTAGGTTAATACTTAACGTAAGATAACTCATGGTTACTTCTTTCGGGAATTCGGATTACTAACATAACCTGGTGTTCACAATATCATACGGTTTCGTTTACAAAAATTGTTACTAAAATTTCGGGTTGTATGATTGATAGCGAGTCTGCGAGTTGCATATAAGCCTGAAGCACTTACTGTTTTGTTTTCATGAGATCAATGGCTCCTTATCTTGTGTGGTAATAACAGAGTTAAGCTGAACAATAGCTTCCGGATTACGTACTCATGCTGCATAAAACCAAAGCTAAAAACTAAAGAACGGAACTGTTTCTGAATTTTATGGTAAATAAAACAATCATTTCCTGTTAAATACCTAATAGTAAGCAAGAAACTGTCAGTCGTGTTCTTCAGTCAGAATATAGGGTTCAAATTGTCATTCTCAGTGCAACAGGTGCCTAACCAGTGCATCGCCCTAATGAAAATGCTTTTTAAGAGAATCAGTTACCTTAAAGCTAACAGAAAATTTTCATTGAAGTCTTTTGTAAAGTTTTCATCACCAAACTAGGGAAATTCAAATAAACCCAGGGGATTTTCGGTGAATGAACTACCGACGGAAATGTCTTTATATTATATTATTTATTTGAATACAAATATTGGTACAAAGGGGCACCGAATACATATGAGCCATACAGGTCACTTGACATGTGTGTGGGCTGTGGTACTGCTCGGGTGCCCAGACAGAAGCAGGAACTGTTAGATCTGTTTCCTGATTCCCACTTTTCTCTTGATCAGAATATTCAGTGACTTATTGTGGGACAAACATGCTTAACAGTGGTTAACTGTCTAGATTGATGAGAAATACAATCACAATATGAATGAAATGCGTTGGTTATTATCATTTTCAAAGTGATATCCAAATGTGATAAAACGATTAAGCAATTAGTCTAAGTGTTAATTGTAGAGTAATAGGTAAGTTTATATCAGTTTGTCTGTTTGTGATGCTATACTACTATCGACTTAGCTGACGATCGCATTACGTATTCTCAGTATCATGTACCGTTCGAAATGAAGATGAAGTGACTTCATTAGACTACAAGAAAATATAACGTGTCTATGCGAAAAGCTATTGTGAATCCAAGTAATCGGAAACTATTGATGTAGCTCAAAGTCAGTCACTATTCCAAATACATCTCATATTTACCGCACCGTATTTACTGAATATCTTATTATATTTTAAATTTGTTATCAAATATTGTCGACAATAAGTCACATTAATATCATGTTTTGGATCATCAGTCAGACCATATTCAACAAAACGTCAGTTGTCATACTTGTTGGTCATCAGCGTACAGTCCACTAGACATCATTTTATGTAAACGGAGCTTATATGATTGCTTTCTTTTTCTTAGTTACGAGAGTGGGTCAATTACTTAAAACCTTCAAGTGGTATTTCACGCTTTATTGATTTAGATACACTTCAATAAAATCACATGCTCGAAATGTACTAATTTTTTAAGAATCTTAGTGGTTAAGACGTTCGTTATCCAACCGCTAGGTCAAAGGTTAAAGTCTCACTCCACTTAGTTCGATTTGGGTAACCTAATAGTATCACTAGCTCAAAGTCTCGAATACGCTAATCTGTACTTCGTAAATGATTTATGCTCATCTCCATGCCATTACTTCTACTCTTCTTTGTTAAATGAATCTTTCTGATCTCTCTGTTAATATTGTGGCAACTTGAGATAATCCAATTGTTTACATAGGTTTCAAATTGCTTATGACTGACCATTCAATTCATTTAACGATTAGCTTTTTCATTGCAGAAAGAAAATGGGTGGTAGTATGACAAAAATATTACCTGGTTTGTATGTTGGAGGTTTCGATAATGCCAAAAATGAAGAAGAATTAATGGCAAATTGCATATCTCATATTATTATTGTTCAAAATTCGAAAAACGACATTGAAAGAGTAAGTATTTTGGAGATGGTTTTAATTGTTAGTTGGTGGTTGATACAGCATAAGGGAGTTTTTGGTATTTTATCTTTAAATGTGAATATTAAGACCTCTTCTATCCGCTCAGAATTTGTGCTGATTGTCTCCCATTTACTAGATGTATCTAAAAAGCGGTGGATGTATACACACTTTGAATCGGAAACCACATCAGTGTCTTCCATTTTGAACCGGTTTACGTTCATGCAGTCAGTCAGTAATAATGTAGAACTTCGTACGTACATACATCAGTTCGAGTTGCCACACCACATTAGCACACAGATGTAGTGGCCGATTCAAATCCCCTAGTGGTAGAGGTAATAAGAGTATAAGCAGTAATCGGGAAAATTAGTGTTTGAAGATGTTATTTAAAGAGTATAAATTTGGAAAGACAAAAAAGAAATGGACATGAAGAATTCAGAAGATTAGAATTTGGGAGAACACAGAGAGTGGATGCACCTGCGCCATTGCAAACGATTTTGAGCCATGTCATTCAGGGTCTCTAACCATCGGTTGCTATCATCACGCGGTCCCCAACCACGTAGTCTACACCTACCTACATGACACAGTTCACTTGTCAGTGACTTCATGGACTTGTGTCATGTTTTGGTTTGGCCGCCCCTAGCTTTCTTCCAACCTACTCCTATACCACTGAACATAGCACGTCGAGGCAGTCGGTGGTTGGGCATACGTAACACGTGTCCTAGCCATCTCAACTGATGAAGTTTCACTACTTCATCAATTGACTTGCCAACCTTACTTAGTACTCCTTTCCTAACAACTGCGTTACTTACTCGATGGTCCCAGGATATACGAGCAATGTTTCGAAGACACCAATGATCAAATACTAGTAACCTACGGATATCCTCTACTCTTACCGGCCATGTTTCACTGCCATAAGGTAGGACGGAACGAACTGCTGCACAGTAAATGCGTCCTTTGGTTGATAGTAAAAATAACGGAACGGCGAAGGAGGTTCTTCCGGCCCACTGGTTAGGCACGCCACCCACCGGAGAAGGCGTAATTCTCGGTAACGATTGTCTATTGAAGAAGGGTGTGCCTGAGAAGTTTATTAACATCCTAAAAGCCCTATATAAAAACACCTCAGGCAGAGTGAGGGCATACAACCACCTTTCTCCACTGTTCCATTCGAGCAGTAAGGTTAGGCAGGGTTACCCAATCTCACCATTCCTCTTCAACTTTGCCATCGATGACATTCTGGAAACAGCTCTGGTGAATGTAAGTAATGGTGGTGTGGATCTGTTGCCTGGAGAAAGACTTCTCGACCTTGAGTATGCGGACGATATTGTCTTACTGTGCGATAATGCGCAAGGCATGCAATCCGCACTTAATCAGTTGGCAATCAGTGTCCGTAGGTATGGTATGTGCTTTGCACCTTCGAAGTGCAAAGTACTTCTACAAGACTGGCAGGATTCTAATCCTGTACTCACGCTGGACGGTGAGCAGATAGACGTAGTTGAGAAGTTCGTGTATCTGGGTAGCTGCATAAGTGCTGGTGGGGGTGTGAGTGATGAGATCAATGCACGAATAGTGAAAGCCAGAGCGGCTTATGCCAATCTGGGCCACCTTTGGCACCTTCGTGATGTTGGTCTGGCTGTAAAAGGTCGGATCTACAACGCGTTGGTGAGAGCAGTTTTGCTCTATGCTTGTGAAACCTGGTCTCTCCCAGTTGAGGACGTTAGACGACTCTCTGTGTTCGATCATCGCTGTCTCCGAAGGATTGCTGACATTCAGTGGCAACACCATGTCAGTAATGCAGAGGTTCGGCATCGTGTGTTCGGGCACAGAGATGATAACTCAATTGGTGTCACCATCTTGAAACACCGACTTCGGTGGCTTGGACATGTTCTACGAATGTCGTCCCAGAGAATTCCACGTCGTGCATTATTTGCCGACTCTGGGACTGGTTGGAAGAAGCGGAGAGGTGGTCAGTGCATGACATGGTGTCGTGGTATGAAAGAAAGCTGCAAAGGACTGGCGTGTGTTGGTCCTTCACGACTCCCTGGTTGGGGTCTGAGAGATGGTGCTACACAGTGGCTAGAGACGTTATCAGATATGGCTCAGAATAGAAGCCAGTGGCGATCCTGCTGTAACCTTCTTTTACTTTCTTCATAAAAAGTGGTTCTGTCTCCCCTACCTGAAAGATTTCTTCTGATTGTACCTTTGCGTTCCTTGATTACTAGCACATTACCTTACACCAATCTCTTCGTTATTGTTCTCTCTTTTTTTTGTTGCGCTCCTTAGCTTTTTTTTCTTTCTTTGTATTCCTCTCGAATTTTCATTGTTTTGTGTGGCGCATATATATTGGCACTCTCTTGTACCAATACTCATGTGTCCAAATAAATAAATAAACGAAGTAACCACCTCCATTGCCCGACGTTCATGCAAGATTAACGATACCTAATTTATTTGAACCACTGAATTTCGTATATACTATGACATAAAGGATGTTTCTTAGAATGTGATAAATTGAACTTCAGATGAATAAACTGATAAAGTATGATGATCAGCAGAGCCGTTTGATAAAGTTGCCATTATCTTCAAATGTGTTAATGTATGCTTTTTGTAAAGTAGGTTTAATGGAATATATGTCAGATGCTTTATTTCCCATTTCTTGTGTTTTAAAATTATCTTTTAGTTTTTGGATTCATTCTCGGGTCATTGTCTGTACATCTACTGTGCTAGCATTGATCATATAACTCTATAAATTGTCTTGATAACTTCATCTGGCTGTACTGATTGTGGTGTGATGAATTGAACCGATTCACTTATGTGTCAGTTTCTTCGTTGCTTATTTCTGACTGACTGGCTTAATGAATTTTAGTGTTGTACTCCGAATGACACACTCCACAGTTCATTATTATTATCACTAAATTGCAAGAAGATCCAGAGATTATCATTTCAACCTATTTAGTGTGTACAAGGCTCCACGTTACTTATGACTAACTGAAAAAAGCAGTTATATATATATATATATATATATATATATATATATATATATATATATAATTATGAATCGGTCAGTTTATGTATTACAAGGAATTTCTTTCCTAAGTGTAGAATGTGATAACGATTGTCTTTAGTTTTCTAAACAAAACTAATTGCATCTCGGATACTCAAAAAGTCACGTTATGTTTTCTAATGGCAATACAGGTTATTTTCATTAATGTTTAAAATGTGATTACTAGTTTAAATAACTTAAGGTATTAATTTGCTGTGGTTTTTTGCGTATTTGATGTCGAGTTTCTTGAATGCGATTTTACATTTGTTAGTACTCATCAATGAGGTACCTATGCTAACTCAAAGAAATCCTCCCTTCTTCTAATATCTGAACTAACGTTCAATACTACATAAAGGTGTTGTAATTAAATTGTTTTGCTTGTGATCGGTCCTACAAAATCTATGCAGTCGTCTTATACACGAGTCCGATCAGCTTCTTAAACAAAATGATGGAGTGAAAAAGGAAGTTTATTTGATCAACTGAACAGTCTTATTTATATATTCATTCATGTATTTGTTCGCCCTTAGCAAATGTAAGCTATTTCTTATCCAATCGTGTTCACTTGTCAGTTGACCGATTTTGAACTTGCCTAATGTATCAGCACTACTACCACGTTTTTTATTTTCCCTCTGTTAATTTCCTTTTGGTTATCCTAATTTGAAATATAATAACTTGAACTGATGCTAATTTGTACCAGCTTCTAGATTGTTCATAACTGGTTAATTTATATACTCCTTTCCATCAATGCACTTTTATATAAGTTATGAGTGAGCACACATGAAATTTTCAATTGGTATTTATGATCATTCCAAGGAAGAATTTTTCGCTTCTGAAGTAAATGATCAATTTTGATGGAGTTTTGTTCTCTGAGCTGGATGGTTTGTTCGTGGAGCTCTCATCGTTCTTCTGAACGACATCATCAGCAAAAAAATTCAGGTAGAAATGAAGTGTTCGTATTTAACGTCAACAAGAACCAATCAACATCGAGGTGTACACAATAAGCTGTGAACCACATGTGGAAAAATCCGAACACTTCTACCTAAAGTTTGTGCTGATGATGTCTTTCAGAAGAACAATGAAAACTTCACTACCAAACCATTCAGCTCAGAGAACAAAACCCCATCAGAATCATCCACCTGTGCTACAAATCTCCACCATCTCAAAACGATCAATTTTTGGATACTTTTATATTTTGCGACCATACTATTATCAGTATTATTGTTTATAACAATAGTGTGAAATAGTCTCTTAATCGTATACTCTGATATTTTTCTCAAAAATTTATTTTTTGTACAAATGAATTTCTGTAAGTCTTATGATAAATACACACAATCAGTCAATCAGTCAGTCAGTTACAATGTAGGACCAGGAACATATGTGTACACAATACTTGTCCATTTATAAAACGATTAATTTCTGTAGTAGTTTGGAATAAAACTTTGACCTTCAATAAATAGTATTTTATTCATGAGTTGATCAATCGATAATCCAGACATAGATGAATTATATGTGCTTAGAGGTATTCGATAAACAACCCTAGATATGTGTTAAATAGTAGAAATATTTACAAAAATGCTCTATCTGTTTTAAAGTATAGTTGTCATTTAAATACGTACACTAAGTAGTAGGGCAATTAGTTTAATGAATTAGTTCTTTTTTCAATGAGTTTACTTTTAAAGCTTTATATTTACATATAATTGCCCCGACCGAAGCTGTTACCTTGACGCGGTGGTCGAGCTTGCCTATCGTGATGACCCAACCGAGCTGTATTGGCTGGAACATATGTTCCTGTAGATTCTACCATGCCAGGCAGGTCGATTGATGAGCGGTCAGGCTAAAAGCACCAACTCAAAGTCTGAGGGCGAAGTCGTACTGCTAACTGTAGAGAGGTGTGACAGCAGTAAGGTGTTTCCCTCGAACAACCAGCATCTGCAGCGATGCTGCCTTCCCACAAAAA